AAGTCCCAAGTGTCTACCGACCATTAGCCATCAAACCGGGAAAATCGAAGGGGTGCATCTTGCCTTAAAAAATTATCTTTTCCCCGGCTAAAATCCGTTTTTACGGAATTTTCCCGATCCGCCTCTTTGTGGCCCGATTACTCCGAAATGAGCGCCGGGAGCCCGTTTCTGAGCTCGGAATCTGAAAGCTGACGCCGAGAGCTTTCGATTGCACCCCCTGGTTGTCCGATTCGGCCTCAGGGACAGGAGAAAACGGCCATCCTCAAAGTTTTCACCCAATCCCATTGAGGAGGCACACGGATAACGCAATTCAGGGTGACACTCATCAGGGCTCACCGGGTATGGGGAGATAAATACGAACTATAGTCCTTCATGAAGATTACGACTTTATTCAGTCATTAGCTCCACCCGCTTTGACTCCGTTTTGCCTCCCCTCGCATGAGAGAGATAGAAAACCGCAGCAGCAACGTGCGAACAACAGCCCACCGTCCTGTTGCCATTCGGACATTCGCACCAGTACTCCGCGATTCCGTCGATCTTGTTCTCGCTTGGATGGTAAAGGATGTAAATCCTGTAGGTTTTACGAGGAGGGACCTCACGCGGAGCTGAACGACGTTCGGCGAATCCCTGACGAATTTCATCTCGATGTTACCGTCGCCGTCCATCATTTCCGCCAGCTAGGACCGTGCGAGGTTGATTTGGTATGGTCCAGAAACGAACAGGAGAAGCTGAATTTCAGTCAACTTCGGGAAGTCGGTCAGGTCCTGGGCGGAAATCCTTTGAAGAAGGGTCCAACGTCGATTCCATCCTTCGTTCTCAACCCGCGCCCCAAGAGTGTTCGGTATATTCGTACGATGTTCCATGTGGTCAATGACGACCTCGCTCAGCTCGCCCTCTGCCCATGATCGGGGTCCATATGCATTCTCCAGATATCCGATGATTCGGCACAGAGATTTAACCTTGGGTATGAGCTTGTTATCAAGGCTATGGTGCAGGAGCTTGTACCTCTGCGCGTCCCGTCCATGGACTGTCTCAACGATCCACCGCACCTCCGTAACCAGGCGGGATTTGTTGGCTTCGTCGCAGGGTAGTTGCTCCCTGTTACCATTCATTGCCGGCAAAACCACTCGGCATCCCATTTCCTCCATGCTCTTGACAGCTTCTCGGAATCCGCGGTCGACGACGGGGACATCACCCTCAGTGAGCAAAGAAAGCAAATCCTAATTCTTCTTTTGCACGTTGCTGCTGCGGTTTTCTATCTCGCTCATGCGAGACATCTCGACACCATTTCTCGTCCGGCAGCGAACCTGGAAAACCTATTTTTGCCGTCCGGAGGCGAAACGGAGTCAAAGGCGGATGGAGCTGATGGCTGAATAAAGTCGAAATCTTCATGAAGGACTATAGTTCGTATTTATCCCTCGATACCCGATGATCCCTAATGAGCGTCACCCTGAATCGCGATATCCGTGTGCCTCCTCAATGGGATTGGGTAAAAACTCTGAGGATGGACGTTTCCTCCTGTCCCTGAGGCTGAATCGGACAACCAGGGGGTGCAATCGAAAGCTCTCGGCGTCAGCTTTCAGATTCCGAGCTCAGAAACGGGCTCCCGGCGCTCATTTCGGATTAATCGGGCCAAAAAGAGGCGGATCGGGAAAATTCCGTAAAAAACGGATTTTAGCCGGGGAAAAGATAATTTTTTTAAGGCAAGATGCACCCCTTCGATTTTCCCGGTTTGATGGCTAATGGTCGGGGGACACTTGGGACTTCTATCTGACATAGTATCAAAGGTGCGTCTCGTGTAGAAGTACTAGAACGGAGTATTAGAAAACTGGGTTCCCGATTTTCAAAGCCTTAGAGGAGGCCGATTTGGTCGAGAGGGGTCTCAAACGAAAGCTCTCGTCGAGAGCTTTCGATCGCGCTATCGCACGACTCTGTAGCTATAGCCGTTCTCGAGATAGAAGGGGTTGAAGAAAAAACTTCTTCGGGCGTTTACGGGGACCACGAGGTGCGATCGGATCCGGGACCATGCGGAAAATGTTCCTCTCGAAATTACCTTCAAAATGAGACCCCACTCGATCAGATCGGCTTCGGAGGGCAGATTTCGCCCAGACCCTTTCTGGTTTACGAATTGATTGATTGATTTATGCTCCATTTCTGAAGAAACCCCGACTGCGAGGGCGCGATCGCTGGAGACTATGTGACGCTTCACACCTGGGGTGTAGGTGGCTTCGCCTCCCTTCTCTCCCATCTTTCGAGAATCCGCTTAGTATCGTTAATGACTCGCCTTTCAGACTCCTCATGTAACCCAAGCCTTTTTTGAATCTCATCGTCACCGCATGTCTCCTCTTGGCATGCCATCAGGACGTGCTCCAGAGATTCCTCCTGACCACAAATCCTGCAAATCGGGTCAATCTCTTCGAATCTTGACCCGAACTTCCTGGTTCTGAGGAAGCCGGCTCTCGCTTGTGCGAGCAATACACTTCCTCTGCTATTATCGTATATGTGGTCAATGGTACCGCATTGTTGTTTGTGTTTTCGATACCTTGCGAGGCTGGACTTTTCGTTCATGCCATCTCTCCATTCTTGATGGACTAAATCTCGGATCTTTTTTTCCACACTCTTTTTGAATGTGTTCAGGCAGGCTCCGCCTGCTCCCGATCGTTTGACCACTATCTTATCGCACTCATATTTCAATGAAAGCGTTTTCATCCTCTCTACGGCTTTGATTTTGGCATTGTTGATGCTAATCATGGTTAGCATTCGTTTCGCCCATCTTTCGTCGGGCATCTCTTGTATGCGCTTGAAGTATGTGATTTTACTCTTGGCTTCCCTCTCTTCGAAAGTTGACCAGCCGAGCTCTCCTTTCAAGAATTCATTGGCTAAGTTGCACGCTGGTTCTCCTAGCGCCCACCTTGCTGCCTGTCTCTGGGCTGAGTCTATGTTTTTCCGTAGAGTATTCGACATGACGGTTACCGTGTTACAGTACGTTAGCGCTGGGACGCATGTGGCTTTCCACTGTATTTTCGTCGTTTCAAAGCGATTGAATTTCCACAGCACTTTAGCATGTAGTTGATATAGCGCCTTGCGCGTTCTCTCCTTCCACATTTTTCCTGGTCCTCGAGATAGTTTGCGTCTGTGCTTAGATGTATGCCCAAGTATTTG